TCCCCCGACGGTCCCGACGCTCCCTTTTGTACGTCCAAGGTGGGAGGCCCGCGGCCCGCCTGGCGAGTCTCGTCAACGGCCTGGAGCCTCGGCGCTCGCTCGCTTTCAGATGGGCTTGGATGGAGCTGCAAGGCATTGCAAGGCCATAATTCTCAGCAAACCACCTCAAAAGTGATTCATGTCCATGCATCCCCAGCGAATTATGATGTCCACCAAGGGTCCCTGATCAAAATTCAGAGCCGCAAGTTGATCAAAGAGGCCCTCTATATGGGATGACCACCAGGGAAACCAACAACCAAATGACTTTCACCAAATGGGAAGAGTTTCCCATAGTCATTTTTGGTGTGAACATAATATTGATCAACCCCACATACCTGGACCCGCCAAGTACCGAGATGGGTGAACTCCGCTCTTTTTGGGGGGTCCAGCTAGGTTATGACCATGGCACGCCAACCAACCCCAGTTGCCAACCAGTTATAACCTCGGTAACCTAGGTCGAACATCCGGGTGTGGCGTTTTTTCGGGTCCCGGACCCCCCCCCATTTTGGATTTCGGACGTTTGGGATGGAGTTCGGTGTTCCTGGTGGTTGCGAATGAAAAGCGACCTTAAGGGGTATACGGTATCCACAAAAAGACACCCATATGCTTGAATTTTCTACTTGCGAGGTAGGTTATAACCAAGGCTGCTGGGGTATCTGAGGTTGGTGAGTGGCAGCCCTGAATTCTCCTGGGAGCCTCCCAGAACCCTAACCGGCGCTGAGACAACGCTTCCAGGCTGTCCCTGAGGGTCACCCTTGCACAACCTAGGCCCTTCAATGGAGAGGCCGAAGCGACGAATTCCTCCGACCTGAAAGAACAACCGAGGCGCCGAAAAACCGTCCCCTACTCAAAATACCCGTGTGTTTAGGGAATTTGGTGGACAACCAGGTTTTGCAGAGGAAATACCGATCCCTTTTTTAGTCAAGAATTTTCCCATCGTAACCAAAGATGGGTATTAAGTGGTTTCGGGGGCAAACGGGTTCAAACGTTCAAGTCACCACACTTGAAGCACCGTTCTGATAACCCCAAATCGATAAGCCTTGGGTGAATCGCGCAGTCATCCAAGCGTCTGCCTGGACCCTCAAACCATAAAATCATGTTCTTGCAACCCAACATCAGGGGACAAATTTTGATAGGTATTTTGAGGGCCGAGGAAGTTCTGATGCCGTGTTTCTGAGTTCCCAGTACTTGGTACTTGGTTCCGGGTAACTTCCATACTATTGCAGGGATCCTTCTTTCCAGAAAGCCGCCTAAACCGTGGGAAACAACATCTGCTTTGGTTGAAGAAAATGGGGAATCAATCGCTCCAGGTGAAGTCTTTGTTTAGATGGCTGTGGGTCAAAATATGTACCCAAAATGGCTTGCCCTGGGAAATGGAAACATGGACCAAAACCTGCGGTTTGATTTCTGGTGGTTTAATTTTGACCCATACCCAACCGCTGGAGTCTTTGTTTAGAGACCCAACTGGGTTGGCTTGCGGAGGAACACCTTAGGTTCGCCTGGATCCCCGACTGCCCCTTGTTTAACTAGGTCCTCCAGATTTGAGAGGTTAGAATAAGGGTACCCGTGTTTTTTTGTAGTCTATTTTAGGGGCACCCTCCCCCCAAAAACGAAACGGTAAAAGGGCACCGATTGCTGGGGGACCTAGCTAGGATCCCTACCCATTCCGAAGGTTTCCTTTTGACACAAACCAAACCCGGACCCCAGGAGGTGTTCGAGAGAAGCAGGACACCAAAGGACCTCGCCACCGCCAACCCCCCCACGAGGAATGCTTAGACATAAAAAATGTGTTTCTTAATTTTGATTTTGGCTCTCCCGAAGTCTTCCCAGTCCAAGTTTCAAACACCTGGATATTGGGGTTAGCCACAAGGTATCCCCGAACATCGGGCCCCTTTCACAAAGAAAACCAGCTGCTCCGCAGATCTGGGCGCGGTTTGGTCGCCACGATCCCAGAACTCTGCGGAAATCCGTCGCAAAGAAACTCGATCCGTTGAGGTCACCCGGAAAGAGGGCCCCCGCACAAAAGCTCAAGGGCGGTTTCTAGAATCAAAGAGTGCTGGGCCTTGAAAAGGCTTAGTGCCCTTCGACTTCATTTATGCAATCCCCATTTGCACGAAATAGAAGTCCAACCCGGCAATCCATTGGTTGCTGCACCCCCAAAACCTGCGTCCGCCTTTTTCCTCGCGCCTTTGGCGCGACCAGAAGCCTCGGCCAGGGGCGTGTGTTTGTGTCGTGCGATTGCGTTTGTGTTTGTGTGTGTGCTCGTTTGTGTGTGTGTGTGTTTTGGTATTTGTGTTTGTATTTCTTGTGTTTGCGTTTGTGTCTGTGTTTTGGTATTTGTGTTTGTATTTTTTGTGTTTGCGTTTGTGTGTGTGTGTGCGTGTGTGCGTGTGTGTGTGTGTGTGTGTGTGTGTGTGTGTGTGTGTGTGTGTGTGTGTGTGTGTGTGTGTGTGTGTGTGTGTGTGTGTGTGTGTGTTTGTGCTCGCTTGTGTGTGTGTGGTGGCATTTGTGTTTGTACTTGTACGTTTGCGTTTGTGTGTGTGTTTATGCTCGCTTGTGTGTGTGTGTGTGTGTGGTGGTATTTGTGTTTGTACTTGTACGTTTGCGTTTGTGTGTGTGTGTTTGTGATTGCGGTTTGTATTTCTGTGTCTGCTTTCGCTCGTGCTCGTGTTTGTGATTTTGCTTGCGTTTGTGGTTGTGGCTGTGTGGTTGTGTTGGGGTTGTGTTTGGGGTTGTGTTTGGGGTAGTGTTTGGGGTTGTGTTTGGGGTTGTGTTTGCAGTTGTGCTTGTGCTTGTGCTTTGTGTTTTTGTGTGCTCGTGTTTGTCCCTGTGCTTGCGTTCCTGTGCTTGTGTCTGTGTTTGTGTGTTTGTGTGCTTGTGTGTGTGTTTGTTTGTTTGTTTGTTTGCTTGCTTGCTTGTTTGTTTGTTTGTTTGTTTGTTTGTTTGTTTGTTTTGTTTGTTTGTTGGTTTGTTTGTGTTGCTTGTTCGTTTGTTTGTTTTGCTTGTTCGTTTGTTTGTTTGTTTGCTTGATTGTTTGTTTGTTTGTTTGCTTGCTTGTTTGTTTGTTTGTTCGTTTGTTCGTTCGTTCGTTGGTTTGCTTGTGTCTGTGTGTCTGCTTGTGCTTGTGCTTGCGCTTGCGCTTGTGTTTATGTTTGTGGTTGCGGCTGTGTTTGTGTTTGTGGTTGCGGCTGTGTTTGTGTTTGTGTGTGTAGTGCGAGGCTCGGTTTCTAGCATGCGGCTGTCTCAAAGGAAACCAAAGGGACCGCACCATTTGGGGCCCCCAGTCTTACACGCCCATCGCCACGCTGGAGCTTTGTGGAGCCTCCCTGGACTCAGTTCGTTGGATGAGTTGCCCCAAGAGACCAAATGGAGAACCCAAGGCCCCAAGAGACCAAATGGAGAACCCAAGGCTTCGGGGCTTGTCCGTGTCGCAACTTTCAGTGAACCAAACATGACGCAAAAATATCCCAAGAAGTGAACCAGATCAAATGATTTGACACACATAAAAAACAAAAAGGAGCGGCATGAAACAATGGTAAATCAGCGGGGCTTCAACTTGCAGGGCTCTTTGTATCAACCTGTCAGCTCGGCACCCAAAAAAGTACGCTCAGGCGGGCGCTAAATAGGTCTAGAAAAATGATCCATGCATTGCGTTTGCGGTTTTCAGCAAAACCGAAAAATATGATCTATTCGGCATCCAGAAGGATGGGACGTTTCAACAGGGGTAACTTCCCCATTCTTTCCAGGGATCCTTCTTTCTAGAAAACCACCAAACACCCTGGGGAAAAGGCTGGTTTTTGCAAAAGAACAATGGCTGAAAAGAATGGGGAATCAGCCCCTAGAACAGTTGATGGTTTGCACACCACCCGGGAAAACAGCACTTAAACCCCTGGTTGTCTTCTCAGAGCCAGTCCCCAACAGCCCCGGAACTGTCCGGAACCTCGGAACCCTCCCTGAAAGCGGCCCCAAGCCACCCCAGAGCTCCAGAGATCTGAGCAGATCGCTCTCAGCTGCGAAAGAAACGGGAGGATCGCGTGTCGCAAGTCGTGCGCCTAAAGACCCCAACATTCCGAGTCCTGGGACTCAAAGGGATACTGTCAAGGACGAGATGAACAGGAAACCAAACATCCATTTGCGGAAACTTCCGCAAATGGACACCTGAGTCACAATCAAAGCCTGGTACAAAAATGGTGAACCCAGAACCATGTAAAGAAATAGAAAGGCGGCCGCAACTATTTTCGGCTGGGACTGCCTCTTACTAACCTTCATCTACCGGGTTTTGATTGTGGCTCACTTAAGAAAATGTCTAGAAGTGACAGATTCCCATAAAAAGCCGACAGCGGAAAACAAATCATGGTCGTAAGTAAATGGAGACAAATGAGCAGAGTCGTTGTTAGGTATTGCCAACGTATCACATGCCTACGCCCCTTTACCCAACAAGAACTCTACGCAATCTTGTGGCGTAACTCCTGGCTTTTGCAAAGAGATGAGGGCCTCTCGGTCCACATCCCTTTTGTTCCCTGGTCTGGATCATTCTCCGAGACAGCTGTCCCGGTCTTCGGAATGGCACTTGTATTTCATGCCAGTGGAACCCATCGATTCTCAACCAACCACCAAAACAGGCCCACCCACCCATCCACCAACCCACCCACCCACCCACCCATCCACCCACCCACCCACCCATCCACCCACCCACCCACCCACACCCACCCACCCACCCACCCACTTCCTGAGTAGATGGCCCAAAAAAAGTAACCAAACTTTTCGTCCACTCTGCCTGGCAACCAAGCCCCCAAAAGCTGACTAAAGTCCTCACCTGGATCGCCAGTTGCTGCTTTTCTCTATCCACTTTACCCCAAAAACCAGCAACCGTGACTGAAAAAAACAGTAACTTGGCGATCTAGGTAAGAATCCAAAACAAACATCGGCCGTGAGCCCAGCCACCCACTCTGTCCGAGCCACATCTCTCAATGGCGCCAGCGCCGCTCGTGGCCGTCCTTCATCATGGGCTCCACTAAGCCTCTCGGCCGGAAAAAAAAAAAAAGCGAGGCGAAGGGCCGGAAATGGAATGAACCCAGGGTTCCCTTACAGGAAACCACCACTTGGATGGTTTCTTTCGGGGTCGTTCCATTTCTGGGCTGCCTCACCTGCGAAAAGTGACTCATTTTGATCTGTCCCCAAAAGCCAGGCAAATGATTCACCCAACTGTGAGGGGTCCGAGTCATCCCAGTTTTAAAACAGAACAAATACAATCGAAACCCAGACGACAATCATCCCGTTCGTATGATAAGATGCGGTCAATATGGTCCGTCCATTTGGGAGGAGGGGGGACAAGCTCTAGATATTCCATACAAACCAGGCTCGCAGAACTCCCAGAAGACAATCCCAGTGAAGCTTGTTGTCCACTAAAATGACTCAATCCGACACGATTGGACCTCGGGGAGTGAGCGCGGCGCATGATTCGCCAAGCTCGGTTGCGAAATCTGCTCCCCTGCTAAAAGTGAATAACTTGGAGTGGTTTAATACGGAAAACCCAACTAAGTTGGCAAAAAGATAAAGTCCTAACATCCAAGCAACATGTAACAAAGCAACATTATGGGTTGCAAACCAATGTTTAAGGGTACCTGGACCCCAACATGCACAAAAAATTACGGTTGGCGAACTCCCGCCTTTCTGGGTACCTGTCTCCATGACCCTTTAAGAATGGGTCCATGACCCCCTTATTTTGGGTAATGACCCGACCCTTGTTTTTAAGGTCATGGATGGAGACTCCAAGTAGTTCTTTCAGGTAACGGTACTGCCATTTGCTTAAGCCCCCTGGAAAAAAATAAGCATATTTCCAGCAGTGATAGATTCCCTTCAAAACCAACAGGGAAAATAACATAATATTCTTAAGCAAATGGAAGGGTACCTTCCACTTGCCCCCAAACTTTATTGGCAACGCCATCCAGTTCTCCTCCGGCTCGGCTCAAACAGTCCCCCACTCCAAATGAGGGCCCTCACCGGTATGCTTTCCACCCTTTTTCTAAACAAGAAGGAATTTGCCCTGACGAACCATGTTTTCCAAAGAATACCCGCAGCACAGGGGGTAGTTGGAGTAGTTGTGTTGCTTTTTGCCGCCCACCAAACAAAAACACAGAACCAAAACAGAGAAACTAAAAACCTACACAGCACCCAAAGAGCAAAACTAAAAACCAATATTTTGTTGTTTTGTTATTATTTTACTTTTATTTTTTATTTTTTTTAAAAAAAAAAAAAAAAAAAAAAAAAAAAAAAAAAAAACGTACCAACCAGGGCGAAGAAGTACACGTGGAGACATCTCTCCTCTTCGCTCCGCGGGCCTCGGAAGGAGGCCTGGCCGTCCAGCACCCAGCGCGCGCCGTAGCCCGCCGCCACGCGCACCTCTCGTCGAAAACGGGACGGCCCCACGGGCGGCACGGGACCAAAGGGATCCGGAGGCATCGAAATACACCTGAGCCACAATCAAAACCCGGTAACAAAAATGGTCTACCAAGAACCATGTAAAGAACTAAGAAGGCGGATATCCGCAGCTATTTATGGCTGGGATTGTCCCTTACTAAGCTTCATCTACCCGGGTTTTGATTGTGGCTCACCTGAACATTGCAACTTGTACATGGTGGTGTCCAACTTGATGTTGGTGTGGAAAAAGCCGGCCATGTGTCAAAATGGCTGCACAAAGATGTATCTTTTAAGGAGCCCTGCAAAAAGTGGCGCTTGTGCGGTGTTCGTCAAACTTGACAACACACGCCCAAAAAGGGGTAGGAAAAACAGAAACGAAGCACACCAAAATTTGGTGGCTCAGAATTGAGGGTGGGGCAAACCGCGGGAAATGAATATAATCTGAGTGGAACCCTGGGCCCTCAAACTACCATAGAACAGCACACTTCCCGCATTTTGTTGGGGCAAGAACAGGGGAACCCTGCCCCAAAAAAGAAACGGTAAAAGGGCACTACGACCTAGCATCCAGTGCTGCCTTTTGACAACACCTCAAAAACAAGCTACGGAAAACCTTCGAAGGGTTCCGAGAACAAAATTCTGGTAGAGGAGCCCAAATGACTAGCCCAAGCAGAACCTGGGCTCTAAAATGAAGTGTCCAATCCGAATCTGTCAACTCGATCCTTCAAAATGGTTTAGTGGTTCTATATTTCTAAGGGCAGTCCTTTTGGGTCCAGGTCTATTGGTTGAATCTCCGGCCACCAATTCCTTTCGCAAGGGATCTTGCAGGCCGATTTGAACCCATTCGGCCGGGCTGAATAGGTCCTTGAGCCAAACCCGCCTTTCAGGAAGCTTCATCCAGCTTGACTCGGGCGACATTCATCAAAACCCAAGGCGAGGATCCTGCAGATAGCCTTTGAAAACAGAGAAAAAACAAATGATATCCCCAGCAGCCAAGAGAACCAATTCAATTTGGATGATGACAGTGAACAGCAACGAATGCTTGTGAGTTGGGTATGGGTCAAAATTTCTCACCAGGAATTGGACCGCAGGTTTTATTTTAGTCCTTGCCAGGGCTTCATTTGGGTACCCATTTTGATCCACTCCCATATTCCCAACGGCAAAAGCCCTCGCCCGTTGCCGCTCCGCACCACTTCGTCGGGGGAAAATCTATACGCAACAAAAACATCTGAAACGGACGAACAAAAATGATACGCGCACTGAAAGCTGCTCCCAACCACCACCAAGCCTATTTGGGCAACCAAATCCATAGCTTTCAGCTGTTGGCCCTGCGAAGGACATGTCAATCGACGTCCGCAAGCGGAGCCTCAAAGGTCGGCAAGCCTCCGGGCAGCGCGTGCAGGTTGCACCACACCTTGGCCAAAGCTTCTTTCAGCCATCGATCTTCTTGCTGGTGCCGAGAGATGCTGGGAATGAGAGTTATGGAGTCCGAGCCCAAGAAAAACCATCCATCCGATTTGGTTTCCTTTCTAAGGGAATCCCCGGGTTCATCCCCCTCAATCCCTACGGAGCACCAGCAAGTCTTTGCCCTGGGGTTCAAACACCACCAAGGAAAACTGAAACAACGTGGTAAGAAGGGGGGTCGTATTTCACCACCATCGTTTACCCCTCGAATTGTCCTCCAAATTGGGTCCTTGGGTCCCCTTGGGCCATTCTTTCCATTGGGGCAAGGAACCCTAGCGTTTGGGCTCCTAGACGGCCGTATACAAACTGGACCCTACACGTAAAAAACAAAATTCACCCAAATATGTTTGAGGGGGAATAACCCATTTCTAATTAGGGGTATTTTGAGGGTCCAGGTACATGGGTGGCGCGTCGTTTTGAACAGAACCCCCCCCAAACAGTGGGTGAAGGGACGACAATAAAGGGAAAACACTCTCTCTTTTTTTTTGGGGGGGGGGGGTCTGAAACCCATATGTATATTAATATATATATACATATATATATATATATACACACACACACGCACACACGCTACCAAATAATGGAACCACCTACTAAAATTGCCAGAATCGACCTTGGGGAACTGAATCGACGACCCCTTTCAATCCCAGGAATCAAGGATCGTGATGATATCATGGGTGGGTGAACTGGGCGCTTTGGCTACGATCCGGTGTAACCCTTAATGGATGTCTCTTTTTCGGGGAAACACCCTTCCTGAAGTGATGACCCCCACTAAAACCAGGGGCACCCACATGTTGAAAATGGGATTAACCAATCCAGGGTTGACATTAACCCTCAATAAGGCCTCATTCATCGACAAAGCAGCCTCGGATACTCACCATTCAGCATGTGCGGGCCGACCCTCCGAAGCCCTCCTACCGAAATATGTGGTTACACGTGACGATGTGGTCGATTTGTTTCCAAACATCGGCAGTCAGTTCGCGGAATTTACCAGAATATGCGGTTATGCCAGTCAGCAGAGGCCCCCCCAGACCATTTCCGCCCAAAACCAAAAGCAGACCAAGCAAACGTCGTCAACTCAGAAAGGCTTGACGCGCCCTCTTCATCCTTTCCCTTAAGCCCCCCTTCGGTCGACCAACACGTCAAGTCCATGTGTGGATGTTGGCGGGGCACCAGGCTTTGAAAAGCCATGTGCAAAGGCCCCATTGCCAAGGATTCGATTCTTTTTCCACACCAACTCAAGAACATCGGGGAAAGCGGCTGGTTGAAAGGGCATGGTTGTCTTCAAACAGGGGGGACCCCAGAAATGGTGGGCTTTCCAACATTTGGCAATCTGTAGTTCCAGGAGGACCCCAAAAATTCCAGCAGGAGTCGGATAAAGCTCGCACCGGAGCTCGGTGAGATGGACTACCCACAGCACATCTGCCTGATGGAAAAACAGCTCGGTCTCTCAAGGCCTCTAGGCGGGGGAAGGGACGGGGAAGGGCATGGATCATGTCACTCAGGGGCAATAGATGGATATCCCCGGTAGATGATGAAACCACCAGGTGTACCAGGAGGGGAAACATCATCTATGCTTCCAGCAAAACAACCAAAAAGGACACCTATGGCCAGATAGAGATCCACCGGTCTCCAGAACGGCCAGAGCTGGTGGAGACCCACCAGCGCGCAAAAATCTCCAGGAGGAGCGCCCCTCGTTTTGTCGGACGTCGTTGAAGACGGAAAACGACTACTTGGGAGTTCCATTCGCCAAGGAAGTAAGTCGTAGCGGTAAGCTAAGGTTTTAACCCACTTAATTGTAAGCCTCCAAACTTATTGTGGGGTTGACCATGTTGTTCGTGGGTTCTCTCACCCTGGAATTCGTTGAATCGCCACTTACTCCGGCGATGGCAGGCCAGGTTGGCGATGGCAGGTTGAGTGAGGCGGACGCGTGTCGAAGGAGCTCCGCTGAGAGGCGGCTTGCGCCCTCGCTGCGAGAAGGAGAAATTCGCTGGGGTTTCCTTCAACACCCACCCAAAAGCCCCAACCCCCTGCTCAAAAGTTGCACATGTGTGGATTCCAACTTTGTTGCCGGGCGTTACAAGGGAAATCCCCACTACTTGGATTGCTTAGTCAAGTAAGTTCTTCGCCACCTGGGCTATAATCCAACAAAGGTTCTCTCCACTTTTTCTGTGGACCTATAAGTGGGTTACCTAGTTTGCCGTTACAACTTACCAACTTCGCCCACCCAAAGAACGCACACACACCCCTCCCCCCTCCCCCACCTCCAGCCTCCACCCCTCCACCTCCAGCCCCCCCCCAAAAAATGGAGAAAGTAGGGGGCCTGGGGGGAAGTCTGTTGATGGTTGCCTGTTCTGGTTTTTATGTTCATCTCAAATCTATGTTCCCCCTTATTCGTTTTGAAAAGAGGGTTTTTAGGGAGCTTATTTATCGTTTTCGTTAAGGTAATCATTTGGGTAAATTGTCGCCTTGTTCATTGTTGGGCTAGGGGCAAACATTTTTTTCATTTGAAAGAGGTAGCCCTTTTAGTAGTTATCAAGTTCTGGGGTGTTGGTGGGTCGTTTGTTTCTTTGACGTTTATCTCTACAATTATTTATTTTTGTTCTACACTCTTGACAATATTTATATCTTCTTCCACTTTTTACATTTCCAAATTCATCAATTGTTTTATCATAAAGACATCTGTTGCATTTGAAGAATTCACCATAGTCTTCTGTTGCTTTTTCTTCTGTCATTCCATAATTATTCATTATAGTTTGCTTCACAACCATTTCTTAATATATCTTAACAACTTCTTTTTATGTGATTTTTATGTGATTGTCTAGTTATGTTTTATAGGTTGAAATTACAGTATAATGAAAGGTTATAAAAGTTTACACTGTTTAATCATATTATAATTAAATATTATGATTAAGCCATGAAATCATTGTTTCTGTTTTCTATAAATTTCAATTGCAACATGTTCGATAGTAATGATTTCGTGTCGTTTCATAGTCTGTTTGGTTTCTTCAACTGCTTGTTCAATATGGTATTGTAATGACGCTCTACTTGAAATCTTATTCTGTTTAGATGATGAATAAGAACGACTGTTGCAAATATTATTATTATACATAATTTTTGAACTAACTACTATTCCAACCTGTATTTCTTCATCATACTTCATCATTCTTAATAATTCTTTTGGTGGTTTCAACGCATATGAAAGCGCTTTATCACCTTTTAAGCATTTATTGCGAATCTCAACATAATATCTACTTTCTCCTACTCGTTCAGTGTAAATAGACGGTTTCCATTTCCTTTGTAATTCTCTTAAAGCATCACATTGTTTCAGTCTTCGCCACCCTTCACTACCATTAATGTAAGTAGTGATGATTGAAACTAAGCCTTCAGGTAAGCTAGCGCAATTCTCATCCATAAAATTATTCTCTGACATTTTACCCTTACTCATTTTTCTCTTAATATATAAGGCTTTTTCTCTTTAAGTAGTTTTGGCTAGGGGTTGCTGGTCGGCTGGTCTGGGTTTCAGGTTTAATTTAAATGTCTTAACCTCATTGTTAGATTATAAAAACTAGGTTTAATCATATTATAATTGAATAATATCATTAAACTAAATCACTCACGCTTTCCATCCACCTATTCCATCCCACCAGAATTCAATAATTCGCATCTGTCCATCTACTAGACTGTCTTCTGTGTTTAGTTTCCGTATCGCTCCCGATAAGATATAGTGGTTAATAATCATAGCATTAAACTGCCCATCTCGGTTTAACTTTTTACCACAGTCTTTTATGATGTTTTCATCTGTTAGGTTTTCATACATTTCTTTCATGATGTCAAACCTAACAAATGAGTATATTGTCATCAAGTTTAATCCGCTATTATCCCTAAACCTGTTAATAACATCTTTCCAGAATTCTTCGTTTTCATCAACTGATGGCAAAGGGTGTCTTTTGACGAAATCCTTTATTTTGTTTAACTCGTCATCTAATTCCTTTTTATAACTGTCATTATCATCATCTTCTTCGTCTGATAGCACCCAGTTTGATAAGTCAGCAATCACTCCGACATTTTCAGTCATATTTTCACTTAATATAATAAGTTAATATTTCTTTAAGTAGTTTTTTATTTTATGTTAAGGGGCGGGGTTTTTATTGAAAAAATATTTTCTAACAATTTAATATAATGGCGAGATTAACAAAAGACCAAATAATCAGCAACATCTATTACGACTTAGACGAGGGTTTCGGAAGCACACAAGCGACACACAAGAAGGCAAAGGAAGAAGACCCAACAATAACATTAGACGATGTAAAGTCTTTCTTAAAGAAACAGCCAAATAAACAAATCAAAAATTATAGAGGAACTAATTCCTATACCGCTCCATTCGCACGATATGAATATCAAATAGACATAATGCATATGTCTCCTTTAGCAAAAGACAAGAACGTTCCACAGTATGCTTTAGTCGTGATTGACATCTTCAGTAAATTAGCAGATGTAATACCGATGGAGGAAAGAGACGGAGAGAACGTTTTGAAGGCGTTGAGAGCAAGCTTTAAAAAGATGGGTTATCCGATGTCCGTGTATTCTGATGACGACGGAGCGTTTGCAACTAAAAATCACGTTCAGGATTTCTTCAACAGTGAAGGAATAAACCACATCGTTACGAAGACCCACGCAAATGTGGCCGAGCGTTTTATTAGAACGATGAAAAACAAAATTCACGATAGAGTTAGGTTTAACAACATGAAATGGACCGACGCCCTAACGCCGGCATTGAAACAGTATAACAGCACATCTCACTCATCAACAAGGATGACACCGTCTGAAGCACACAAGGACGAGAATGAAATAAATGTAAAGGTCAATCTTAAACTACGAGAAAAAAACAAAAGAAAGTATCCCAGAATAGTGGAGAACGACAAGGTAAAAGTGTTTCAAAAGAAAAGG